TAACTCTGTCATGAACACAGAAAACAAACTAAATCATATGCAACAACTATGTGCAGAAAATATGTAAGATATTTAATGGGTGCATCAACTTGATTACGGAGAGATATCAAAACTTGTAAAATGATCAAAAGTTTTCAGTTCCCCATTGCTGCATCAACTTGATTCCTGAGGGGATATTTTTGGAGTTGGAATTAGAAATGTGCCAGAAACAACAATCCTAATTAATGTTTTATTTGCAGTAAGCTTGTAACTTGACAAGAGAAAAATGTAATTTTTTTTAATTGAGCATTACCATGAATTTTGAACTTAAAGAAGAGAAAACATTATCAAGTAAATTGTTTCCTCCTCACTTTTTTCATTAATTTTACCATTTTGAACTTATAGAACAAACATTAAAGGTCTTTGGCCCTGATTACCTATCTCTTGGATGCCATTCTTACATAAGAATGAATACTGCCTTGTCTAAATTAGCTACTCATTATCGCACATTTACATCCTAGCAGATTGAACCCAGAAGATTCTGTGAAGTAAAAAAATCTATCCCCATCCCTGATGTCAGATAGCCTTGTTTGACTAAGTCCCTCAAAAAGATAATAAAGGAAAATAGAGGCTTGGGAAAATAAAATAGATAAAGGAGTCACAGCTCTCTTCCCAAGTCAAGTATGGAATCACAGCAAACTTGATGCAAGTATTTCAATGAAATCAGATCAAAGGAAAAATTTTAAAACATCTCACCAGAAAGGTTAGGGCAAAACCTTTTTTCGAATCTTGTCAACTTCTTTTATGACAACAATATAGACTTCATGTAGATTTTCTACTAGTCTAAAGATTCTTAAATACTTTGGGTTCATACCCATAGACGAAATAGGTTTTTTTGGCCCATAAACAGTTTGACATAATGGCAGTAGCTTTACACATTAAAACATGAAAGAAAAACAGTGAAGAAAATAGGTGTCTAAGAATTAGGTGAGCAAATCTAAATGGAGACAAACTAGTACAATTTAAAGCCAATTTAATAGTGGAAGGAAAATATAATTTAGATGGAGCAACTAACAATTTGTTGCTTGTGAAAGTTAATGGTATAAAATGTGGTCATGAAATAGGTTTAAGGAGAGTCAAAAGGAAAATAGCAAAGCGTTTCAATAAAAAGTACGAAAACATGCAAGGTGCCAACCAGCTGGTTGGTAAGGTACTTGCGTTGGAAGGGGGGGTTATGGGTCAGGGGATGGGCTACCCCTGCTGTGTAGCCCTTCAAAAGATATAAAAAATAAGGTACGAAAATACAAAAATATCAAAAACTAGGCACTAACGTGGAAGAAAATTGAATTTATATGATCAAAGTCGAGGATAGATGGAAAAGTAATTTTGTAGAGATTTAGATGATGTTAGGTGCATCAAAGAGGAAGGTCAAAGAGTCTTAATAAAAGATAAGGAAATCAAGGATAGATGGAAAAGTAATTTTGTAGAAAAAACTAAACAAAGAACATATAGAGGAAGTTCATAGCAGAGGGATTAATAACTCTAATTTACTTCGGTCAATAGATGCCTTCATAAAACTAGAATTTCGAAAGTAAGAGGGTAAAATAAGATGAAGTTAAAGCCGTTAGGATATGAAGATATCCTAATAGAAGCCTGGAAAGGTATGGAAGAGTAAGTCTATTATGGCTAATTAACTATTTAAGAAGATAATGAAAACAAAGAAAATGCCAAATGAATAGAGAAAGACCATTATGGTTTCTATATTTAAAAACAAAAGCGACATACAAAGTTGTAATAAACTATAATTATCATGGGATTAAACTCATGAGACATAATAATTGAGAGGCTACAATATAAAACAGTTATAGCAAAAAACTAAGTTGGTTTTATGCAAGGGATATCAACCATCCAAGCAATCATTTATTGATGCAATTGTGATAAAAGTTTAAAAAGGAAGAGATCCTCATATGCATAAATTGATCTAGAGAAAGCATATGCTAGAGTCCCTAGAGAGATAATATGGTGGGTTTTGGAAAAGAAAGCAATGCCAAATAGTTATGTGGACTTAAATTAGGGACATGTATAAGGGGGCAACAACCAATAACACAATGCCTGTGGAAGGGACATCAAGTTTCATTAATGAGAAAGAACATATAAAATAGTCCTCTCAGTTACAACTGGCCCAAAAAATAGTCTCTCTCCCCCACCCCTTGTTTGGCAAATGCATCAGCTAAAGAATTAGCTGTTCCACGTCTCTTTTTAACCATCTGAATTTCTTCTTTTTGTTGTTGTACAACCATAACTAGACTTGTTCATGGGTTGAGTAGTCCAATGGGCTGGGGCTGGCCTAGCCTGTTCTAAGTCGGGCTTGGACATGACTTTAGGCCCACGGGTTCGGGCTTTCTCAAAAAAAGCCCGGCCTGAGACCAAGCCTGACTTGACAATATATTACATATTATATATATATATATATATATATGTATATATATATATGTATATATAAAATATGTTTTTCTTTGTTCCTATTCTCTTTTTCAAGTAATAGTGAGATCTTTCATTATTTTTGGGTTTTGAGGTCTTTTAATATAAATAAAACAGTTTTTTATTGAATAAAAAAGAAAAATCTTTTTTCAAATTTCTGGCCAGGCTTAGGCTCGGGCATGAATGCATCCTGTTAATACAGAGACAAAGCCCGACCCAAAATCGGCGCAACCTGGACCGTGAACAGGTCTATCCATAATTTCATCTCCTCACTTCGTATCCAATTTACTACCAGTTTTCAATCACCCTCAACAATAAGTTTTCTAATGCTCAGTGTTTTCGCCCTTTTTATGCCTTCCATCAATGCCAGTACTACTCTATGAGAATCTCCCTCCCCAGACAGTCCTCAGTATAGAGCAATTATCTTGTCCCCCTCATTTCAAAGTACACCTCCAATACCTGAAATTCCTGGGTTCCCATGCTATTACCATCAAAATTAAGTTTGATGAACCCACTTTCCCGGTGGAGATCATTGGTGATTAATGACGATTTTATTTGAACAAGAGTCAGCCACTTCTAGTTACAATGGAACTTCACCAAGGTTTAACACTCAACCCTTATTTATTTGCACTTGGCATGCATGAATTGACTAAACCTATTTAGGCGAAGGTTTCATGGAGCATGCCATTTGCTAATAACATGGTTTTAATCGATTAAACTGAAAACAGATTACCGTCAGTTGGACTTTCAGTGGACCGGTTGGAATAGCTTCTTCAACAAAGGCTGAAGTCATGGCAGCTTTAACCAGCATCAGGATTGCAAGAGACCTGAGTTTATTAAATCTCACCATCAAAGGAGGTTCTGCCAATACCATTAATTGGCTAAATAATCCTGATAATGGGCCTTGGGTCTTAGCTCACTACTTGGATGAAGTGAGGGGCATTCTCTCCTCCTTGAATGCACACTTGGGCTGGGTTCTGAGGGAGGTAAACTCTGAAGCCGACAGTCTGGCTAAATCTGGTGCTCACAGGGATTATTACTTATTCAGTGATAGTTTTCTGCATGTATAACTCTTTAAGTGTTTGATCTCTGTGTACATCTCCTCATGTACCTCTCTTTTTTATGAATAAAGTTGACTTTTTTTTTTCAAAAAAAAAACTAAAAACAGATTAAATGCAAAATTAGATTTATGTATAAATACCTAAAAAATAAGATATTATAAAATAAATAGGACTAAAACAAAACATATGAAATGTAAATTCAACAATAGTGAGTGGACGTAAGGGTATACTTAGGATTAGAGACCAAGAGATACCGCAATGTGATCTCTTGATGCAGGAGTAGAAGAGTCAAAATTGGGATTTTCTGAAA